AGTTAAATATATGTTTATCAAATAAAGTCTAATGTTACAACTAATCATGGATCCCTTTAAACTATAAAACCAATCTTCTTTGGACCTTCATGGACCTATCCGTGTCATCATTTACCCAGAATGCTTTGTGTGTAAATAAAATGGCTCTGTCAGTGTTAAAATATATTTTTAAACTTTTAGTTTAAAAATTATAAAAACTGAACATCTTACAGAATTTTTACAGTCTTTATTTTACAGTTAAAATATATGTTTATTAAATAAAGTCTAATGTTACAACTAATCATGGGTCCCTTTGAATCAGCAGCATCTGAGAAACAGGTCCAACTTGAAGGACAGATGAATGGCGCAAGAAACCAACAAATTCACAAGAGGCATTTGTTGAAGTCTTTCAAAAGGTTTGAGGCAATGACAGAGATTCACCTTCAACACACTGAAGCAACACACCAGTGGTTTCAAAACCATTTAAATGTTCTGGAATGATCCGTTTTAAAGCCCAGACCTCAACCTAACCTAACTGAGAACCTCTGATTTGATTAAAGATTGATGGACTCAAGCAACAACCATCCAACCTGAAGGAGCTGCAGCAGTTTGGTCAAAAAGAATGAAGAAAATCCCCAGAGGTGGGATGGACCAAGATCATAAAATTGATGCGAAGGTGGCTCTACACAGTATTGGGTTTTGGAACTGAATACATATGCACACATCACTTTTGACTATTTTTTATAGTTATTTAAAGCATGTTTGTTCCTTTTTTTTACTGTGTGTTTCTGCCACAGCTTCCATGCACTCTTCGATCATTTCAGAGTCCGTGAAAGGCTTTTTGTGTTTTCCTAAAATCCACTGTACTCGCAGTGAACACTCGTATGCTCGTTGTTGTGCTGTAATTGACTGTGTTATCAGCCGTGTAGCTCGCTCATACTGTCCCTGCAGTTCATCTATTCTCGTCAGAACCAGGTGGATAGCTTTGGTTGAAGTTCTTATGAGACCGACGGATTCAGAACATATGAGGCAGACTGGCCGTAGACTTGACGGGGGTAAAATGAAAGCATATGCTTCCGTCCATTCATCTTTGAATGAGCGATTTTCACAGTCCACTTTACGTATTTTTGTCAAAGCTATCTTCTTTTGCTTACTCATCTGTGCATCATCAAGTCATGTACCAACAACTAGCTAGCTGTGTCTGAGCGCGCCCAAGCTTAGCAACCCGTGTTAGGACCCCAAGACCCGCGTATAGCTGCCTGCCGTGCCTGTTCAAAAGTCAGGCGCTGCTGTTGGCCAGAGTAAAATGTAAAATAAATGTAGTAAACTACAAAATGCTTTGCGGTCCGGACAAAATCGTCTCAGGGTCTGGATTAGGACCGGAGTCCGGGGGTTGGGGACTCCTGCAGTAGCAGCTCCTGCACATAAAYGTTACAGTGGCACACATTCATTTCCTGGACCAATAACTAAATGGATGTTACAAAGAACATTTTCTTTTTGGGAAAAAAAAGTTGGGCTATGTGTTGCTTAATRCTTGTTTGAACTCCAGCAGGGTTTGAACATGCAGAGGTATCACTGACTTAATATTCAGAGGCCACAAAACTGGATTAAAAAAAGATCCCACTAAGTTGGCCAAGATGTCCTGTTTTTTTCTCATTTTTCATTTCTCTTTTGTCCTCCTCAGTTTTCTGCTCTATGCTCCAAATTTTATTTTTAAAGAGAATACCTCCTCTGTTGGACCCAGCAGGTTTTGCTGCAGCTCTTCCTGCATTTGATGAGATCATATGGGGGCTGGGGTTAGTTGGTCTGATCAAAGCAGAACATGTCTACGGGGCGGGATATTTTAYCCCTAACTCTAACCTGGAGATATGACAACATGGGGTGATGACCTGCACCACCCCATAACTGTAAATAATAAAATAAAAATAAAATAAACTCAGAATGAAGCCGTAAAAACATTTTAAATTCCATCTTAAATTTGTCAATAGTAAAAAAAACAGCATTGCATAAAACAATACACAACAATGAGTAATCAAATCATCTTAATTACTGATGAGGAGCAATGTTCCAGCCGCCCTCATGGTACAAGCTAGACCTGTTTTTAATTGGATTACATTGGGTCATTCACAACAGTAACTTTCCACTTGTTAAAGAGGTGACTGTTTTTTTTTTTTTCTGGGGACAGTTGTAGCTTAAGTGTGAGGTAGTACAGTTTAATATCTGCAAGTATCACAAATCCATTTTTGTCTGGTTTTAATTTAGTTTTTTCCATCCATCCATCCATCCATCCATCCATCCATCCATCCA